CCTCTCACCTCTCTCAGCCCTTCGGCTCCAAGCAAAGGTCTCTCTCCTGTGGACTGCCATTGCTGGGACAAAAGCTCGCCTCACCACGTCATCTCATGGGGTGGAAGACCCCCAGGAAGGTCCCTTCCTCGAGGGCTTGAGTTCCCTCGAGTCAGAAGGTTAGGGCAGCTTTCAGGTGAAAGTCTTGGCCTCAAGTGTCCTATCAGAGCTCCTTTGCTCTGTCTCAGCTGCCAGCCTGGCAGCAGCAGCGGGGGGACAAGGCCCTCCTCCGCATTCCGTCCAGCCGTCCCGCTCCAGCTTCCAGGATGGTTGAGCTTCTTAGCTCCTCTCTCTCTCTCTGCTGCATGCTGCATTTTAGCACTTCCATCAAGTAGGAGTCTACCGCCTCCTCCTAGGAGGGCTCTCAGAGGGGTTTTGGGGACTTTGATTCAGTTCTTACCCCCAAAACTGTCTCTGGAGAGTTTAGTTCTCTCTCTCTCTCTCTCCATTAGACATCTCTGTGTCTTCCTGCTTGGCTGCAGGCCGTCTTTGCTGCTTCTTATCTCTTGCCTTTCAGCCATAGCCTCTGCTCAGTGCTGTCTCTGCTGCCGCCTTTCTGTCTCCTGCTGCCCACTCCCAGTGGAGAAGAACTCCCAGCTCTTTCAGTCCCAGACCTCGGTCCAGTTGAACACTGTTTCCGAGTTTCTAGGACCCCAGCCGGGGGGCTGAGGGGGCGTGGTCCCCAGCGGGGCTCCTGCCCCTTCTCCCCTCATGCTCTCAGAACATGGTCACTTCTTCTCCAACTACCTCATCCCCCTTCTTTTCCGCTCTGGTGTGATAGGTTTGAATTTTGCAGGGGCGCTGATTGGGTCAACATCAGGAGAGACACCATCCCCTCGGGGGTTACCATTTTTTGAACTCCAGGGGGAAAAAACACCTTTTTTCCCCACCACACCCCCGGAAACCAAAGAACCAAGCCCCCACCATGGGACAGTTCAACCCCATCCGTGTGCCAAAGGCTCCTTTGGGATGTCACAGCCTATCCTCTCCAGTCCAGAATAGCCCCTGGTGACCAAAGAGTCAACGCTTCACACCCCACAGTGCAGCCCCACCCATGTTCCATGGGCGCCTTTGTGATGTCACGGCCTATCCTTTTGTGGTAGTTTGAAAAACCTTTTCTTTGGGGTAGCAATGGTTTCCCCTACTGATAATACTGGACCAATCAAATGTTCATATGCGCCCTAAGGAAATTATATACCCACAGCAATGGAAGAGAAGGTGGTGAAGTAGTTTTAGAAGGTAGGTAGCCATGATATGAGCCAGAAGGAAGCAGGGGGCCAGTGAGCCCCCTCTGGGGGCGAGGATTCCCCAGCCCCCAGCTGAGGCTACGGGAGACCCGGTGTAGTGTCAAAGCTGGACCGGGTCCCCTAATCAAGAGCTGGAGGAGTTTCCTTACTGTCAGCAGCAGCAGAAGACATTGAAAGCAGCAGCGGAGCAGTCCTAAACAGAGACAGCGATGGCTGAAAGCCAAAAAGATAGCCAGGAGCAGCGAGATAATGTGAAGCCGGCTAATAGACGCAGAGATGTTCCTGCCTGAGGGAGAGCTGGCAACAAAACAGAGGAAAACTCAACAGAGTTGTTTTGGGGTAAGACTGTATTACTTTCCCAAAACCCAGAGACTTCCTGAAGAGAGGTGGACTTCCAAACCCTTAGGGAGTCCCGAAATGCAGCAGCAGCTAGAGAGAAAGAGAGAAAGGAGCTGAAAAACCCAGAGTCGTCCTGAGAGCTGAGCCAGGACGGAATGCGGAGGAGGTGACCTCTGCTGCTGCTGCTGCTGGTGCTGTTGCTTCTATCATGCTGGCGAGTTGAGACAAAGCAAAAGAGCTTTGGTAAGACTGAACTAAAAGCTGCCTTCAATGTTCTAACCCAAGAGGAGTGAAGATCTACAAGGAAATCCCCGAAGGCTTGGGCTCGGGGTTGAAATTTCCATAAAGTAAGAACCAAAATCCTGACTGCCATACTTAAATCTGCTGCCTTGGAAAAAATGGAGGACACTAACCAGTGCCACAAGAAAACTGAAATGAAAGAACTGTGGCCTGAGAAGTGACAGAAAGACTTTTTTCTTCTTGGGCTTTTATTGAAGAAAAGGAGAAATTTAATTTAATCTAAATATATATGTGGGTGTAAATAAACTTTGTAAATATTTTCCCCTTCCCCCGATAACGAATGGTTGTGTTTTGTCTGAAAACTCTCCACATGAAGTGGAAAAGATATCAAGTCCATACCATCAGTAAACCCTCTCACAGGGGCAAATTGTGGGAGGAGGGCTTGAATTTAGAAATTGGATTCCTGGGAGTTTCAAACCACCACACCCCCTGAGCTCCCAACTTCCTGTGGGGTGCTGGAGGCTGCTGGATCCAATCCCAGCCTTGGATTATGCCAACACTTTCAGTTTAGAGGAATTACAGAGGTGTGACTGAACCACTTTTGTCCCCCAGCTTTTAATGATGGCAAATCAGATCTATTGATAGAAAGGAATTATTTAGGGTTACAAATGATGAGACAAAATATCTTCATCAGAATTCCTTACTGCACAATAGAAACACTAAAACTACCAGGACTACAGGATAAGATAGGACAGTGCTCTACACTAAAACAGTTGTTGAAGCAATTCTACTAAAGCTGGCACAAAAGCAATAATTGTTAATTAGAGATGGATGGAACTCCCCCAGACCAACGCTCGGGGGGAGATCTCTGCTCTCAACGTCCAAGACTGACCTTGGGGGGTCCCCAGCCACGGCAGGAATCTCCACAGATCCCCTCCAAGAAGGGTTCTGTTGGAAGAAGCTGCCCCTGTGAAAGGGGACTGGCCCTTTGTGGCAGAAAGGGATGGACTGACAGTCACTGGACTCCAGGGGTAGCCTCACCATCAGGGGCTTCATTCGGGGTGGAAGCAGCGGCTGAAGCTCTTCCCGCAGTCGGGGCACTGGTAGGGCTTCAGTTACTGGTGGGTCCGTTCGTGTGAGGTCAAGTTACAGCTCTGGGTGAAGCTCTTCCCACACTCCCCACACTTGTAGAGCCTCTCCCCGGTGTGGATGCGCCGGTGGGTGACGAGATGTGAGTTCCGGTTGAAGCCCTTCCCGCAGACGGTGCAGCGGAAGGGCCTCTCATCCGTGTGCGTCCGCTGGTGCTGGACGAGAGCTGAACTGGTCTGAAAACTCTTCCCACAATCCAAGCACTTGTAGGGCCGTTCCCCAGTGTGGATGCGCTGGTGTTTGTGGAGGGTGGAGCTGTCACTGAAGCTCTTCCCACATTCCCCACACGTGTAGGGTCGTTCCCCAGTGTGGAAGAAACGGTGGGTGCGGAGGTTGGAGCTCTGCCTGAAGCTCTTCCCACATTGCCCACATGTGTAGGGACGTTCCCCAGTGTGGATGTGCTGGTGGCTGAGGAGGTGGG